CATACAATAAACATACATATGCCCCAATGTGGCATCTCAGCAGGGTCATGAGGGATGCATAGGAGTTTCTTAGATGGAAAGCAAGGTGTTGGGAGGGCATTTAGAGCAGAGGAACCAGTTTGGGCAAACTGTTTGAGTTTGAGTTCAGAGGAAGGTAAACAGCCTGGCTGGCTGGACCTTGAGGAGGGTGGTGGAAGGCATAGTGGAGGTAGAGAGCAAGGAGGCCCAAAAGGAGGCTGGAACCAGATTATGTCTGGCTTGAATGATAATGGCCCCAGGAAACCAATGAAGAAGATTGACCCTGGCAGTGACAATCCGATTTTTAAGAAGCACTGTGCCTCAGTATAATACCCGTTTGTCAAATGAGTTGCTCACACCTTTTAAAAAATTGCTACCAAACTGGGTGACTTTGTGTGGTTCTTCACAGAGGCAGAATGTTCCCCTGACATCAACCATTGCCTTAAGGAGAGGCAGCTGCAACACGCTGCCCAGCCCTCAGAAGTTGGAATGGATTTATGACATGCCAGTGTCTCCAAAAAAGGCTGATGGGAGAAACACATCTCTAACCAGCTGTGTGGAAGAATTAGGGTGCCTAGCTCCCCCCAGGCATATGTCCAGCTTCCACAGTCCTCCAAACAGCAGAGCAAAGCCCCACATGCCTCACCTGCAGAGAAATGTGCCCATGCAGAAAAAGCTCAGCCTTCTAGAGATTCCTTCGTATAGCTTTCTGCCAGCCAGGGTCATGCTTCCTTTGGATGAAGATGTCAGCTACAAGGTTCCTTCAAGCTTTCTGATTCCCCAAGTGGAGCAGCCGAACACCAAGCTGAACATTTATGACATCCCCAAAGCAATGCCAAGTGTCCTCTGGCTTGGAAAGAGCTGGGGAAAGCTGATGGGCCTTCAGAGAATCTCAGGGACCATAATTCCTCATGGTTCTCCAGACGAGCAGCATCAGGGTCTCCTGAACCAGACAGCTCATCTGTTTCCAGTTCTGACAGCAGAGCCAGCATCTTGTCTTCATGCTTCTCAACCTCCACTGACTCTTCATCCAGCTCCTTCTCAGAGGAGTCAGCAAAAGGAACAGAAACACACACACACAATATAAACTTATAAGAAAGAGAATTCAGGACAGACTATATTTAAATGGATGTAACAGATATATGTATAAAAACCTATATTTATCTATAAATCTATCTCCACCTCAAGGGACATAGTTGAGGGAAGGGTAGTGTAAAACAGGAAAAAAAAAGTTGTGATCCAAGGATCCAAACCAGGAAATTCAGAAGCTGTGGTGAAAAAGAAAGGCATGTTTGACTATATTAAAATTAATATAACAAGTTAATGCACATCAGTTTGATGGAACATATCATAAACAGAGGCAAAGCAGTAGACTGGAACATATTTTCAATGCAGATGATTGATAAAATGCTAAATATTAAACTATACCAACAGTTTCTAAGAAATGAATATAGAAATGACAAA